GTTTGGTTACTTTTTTTTGATAAAAACCGAACCGAACCGAAAATGATCACCCCTAATTCAGTTTAATGTGTTTAAATTTAAGGCAAACTTGATTCGAGCAGAACAATAAAACATTTTCCACTGTTCTCCGCACAATGAAGAACGGCTGAAGATGAAGCAACAACTTCAAGCTGTTTTTCGCTGCTCTACATTTCAAACACAAATTATACTACATCTCACAAATTAATATAGTTTTTTTTCCTGTAGTTTGCTTAAAAAACAGAAGCAACACATAAACAAAAACTCTCTAATACCAATGTCTTTAGATAACTTCGTGTGCTTTTTACTGTTGCTATCCAAACCAAAACTAAGTCACCACCACATGTTAGTACTGCTGCAACAACTTTGGACCACCATTAGACCTTTATATGACCATCGTTGAGGTTCCACTACAAAAAACAGCGGCTATTAGCATCTGAATTTAGCAATGAATAATTTCGTTGCTAAATTCAGTAACAGATTTGTAACGAATTATATATATATATATATATTTTTTTAATATTAGTAATGGATTTTAGCAACAAATAATTCGTTGCAAAATTTACGTTGAATTTAGCAACGGATTTTTCGTTGCTAATTGAAAAAATAAAAATTTAAATGTTAATATAAAGCTGAAATTATGTAGACCGTTGATTGCATAAAATCTAAACCGTTTATTTTCACTCTCTCTTCCCACACCAAAATACAGAGAACAACAAAACCATTTACAGCTGAAAATTAATTCACTTTCACTCTTCCAGTGTATCCTTCGTCCCTAATAACAATATCAATCCCTAACTGTTGAAAAATCACCCTCTCTTCATCGATTTCATCTTCCTTTATCCCAAACTGTTCATCATCTTCGCATTCATTTTCAGCATCCCTAATTTCTTTTCTTCATCTTTTTCTTCTTCATCTTAACAGTTTCAATATTTCTATGTAAACCAACAAAAACACAGACCTATGACAACATCGCACCAGACCCATCATCATCACCTTCAAACATCCTGATTTACCCCTTTTCTGTAAACGGGTTAGGTTTTGCACTTTTTTCTTCAATAGCTCAGGTAACTAATTTAGGGTTTTTGTTTTTTTTTTTGTTGCAATTGAAGCTACACTAAACAATTCTAACCTAAATTTTCTAATCTCAGGTGTTATTTTTTCGTGTTGATCCATCTCCCTCATCTGTAACTGAAGAACACAGGTAACAATTCTTTTTCCGATACTTTGAATAATGGTTTTAGGCTATTAATTCGATAATATAAGGTTTATGAAATGTTTTTACCATGATTTATAACCTAATTATGCATGTTTAATTGAAAATTCATGAAAACCCCCAAATTAATTTTTAGGGTTACGGTTCATAAATTGAATGATTTTATGCAACTTGACCAATGCTGGCAATTCTTGTGTCTGGAAGAGAGTGATTTATAGAAATTATGCATGTTTAATTGAAAATTTATCAAAACCCTCAATTTAATTTTTAACAATTAGTATTATTGATGCTAGGTGTTCTTTGATGTCTGCAAGTCTGTTTGTCCTCCTGTGCGCCAACACCTATGTGATTTGAATGTATTCATATGCTTATATATATATAAAGAAACTTGCTTGTTGATGTTGTGTTTCATTAATAAGATTGTTGTTTTATTTTTGTATCTTCATTCATTCTTTTTTTCTTGCCGTTTTACTTATTATATATATATATATAAATAGTAGAATTGTATAGTGAAAGAGGTTAGAATTCATGGTTGCTTCCTCCTTGCATGGTGTTCAGTTAATTTCCCATATTAGCTATATATGCTGTTTGTTTTCACTTGATTGTTATGTCTTGAGGTCAACATGCATGATTTGGAAACGTTTTTTATCACCAAATGGTTTAGGTGGCAGGCTTTTAATTCAGTTTAGCTAAATGTTAGATAGTATTTAATTTTTCTTTTTAATCCTTCCTTCCCCCTAATTAATATCCATTATTCTCACCTTACCTAGCTAGACTAGCAACTCACCCGTAAGGATGCAGGATCCCAAAGCCTAACTATTTTTTTTAATCTAAAATGCTCTTAATTACATTTTAATATGATAGTCACATTGAGAATTTAAAAAGGTTAGAGAAACAAAGTAAGAAATTGGACATGATTTTTTAGTACATTAAATATAATAATTGCATTATTTAATTTCATTTATGTATATATTTTGCTTTCTCTGTTTTTAAAAATTTCCTTAATTTAACTATTATTTTATTTTATTTTTTTCAACTCAAAAGCATTCTAGATATAATAGGAAGTTTGGAACTGGCTATATAATTCATCTACATGTATGCTTCAGCTATTGAATGTTGGATATAAATCTGTGATATTTACTCATTTTGTTACAGTACCTAATGCTTGCTTTGTTATTTGGCTTTTTTTTTTTAATTTCTAGGTCCTGACATGACTTTGTTCAATATGATGGCTTAGGTTTTTAAGCGTGGCATCAAGTTATCTTTCTCAATAATTAATCAGCCTTTGGGTTCTTCTTGGCACGAAAGCGGTATGTTGCGTTCTTATTATTATTTACTATGGTCTCCTTAATGCTTTGTCCTTTTGAGGTCTTGGGCTCTTATACTACATGTCATTTACATGGAATATCATTTAATGCATCCAGCTTCCTTTGTTCATGTAATTTTTCTGCATGTCATTTATTGTTTTTATACAAACTTTTACCATTTTCTGCATCTGCTACCATTGTTAATTAGAGTTAATTATAATTTAGTCTATGTATTTTTTATGATTTTATAAGTTATTCATTATGTTTTTGAAAACCATAAGTTAGTTCCTTGTTATAAATTAAATGTTAGTTATTTTAAAATTTCAAAATTAATCATGTTCAAGATTGAAAATTTTCAGGTTAGATCTTAGAAGAAAAAAATTGTTATAAGAAGACAAGTGCCAAAAAATATTAAAAATTAATAGTTTAACTTGAATATGCTTTCTGTTTTTCATAGTTTAACTTGGATTTGTTTTAAAGACTAACAAGTGTTATAAGTGGATGGGTTTAAGCTGTTATGCACAATTCCTTTACCTAAGATGTACACTAGTAGATTATCAATGAATGTCTACTGGAATTTTGTTTGTTGAAGCTCATTTTAGAGTTATTTGCTTTGACATTCCATTTCTGCAACTTACCTCATGTGTTAGTTATTAACTAAGAGGTGAACTTGTGTATTGTAGCTTCTTGGTAGGAGTGGTGGATTTCAAGTAGCATCCACTCATCGGCCATATACAAAAGGAACTGCCACATTATATAATTGCCCTTGATGGAACTCAGTACAATCTCTTACTGTTAGACAGTGAAGGAATAGATGCCTATGATCAAATAGTAAGCACATTTACCTTATCAAGATGAACTAATGATTGTTGTGCTGGTTTTATGTTTTAACAGTTGAAGAATTGATGAAATGACTAGTAATCAATTTTATTAATTGAAGAATTTTTTTCTTTGATTCCTTCTTATTTATGATTTACACCATATCCTTTTTATATTCCCACACAGCTGCTGTTTTGGATTATGCAATAATTGTTATTTTGGTTAGCTAGGTTTATTTACAGCTAAGTTGTTTGTGCTATGCTTTTTATATTCCCACGTTGAGATTCAGAAGACAACATTTCTCTTATGGTCTGCTCATGTCAATTAATTAACAATAATATTATGCTCCATACGTATTAAGAGAAGAAAGAGACAAAGATACAAATGTTGGAATAAAAATAAAAAATGTTGGAATAAAAATAAAAAGATTCGAATATATGATTATGATTTCATTTACCATTTCTTAGTTTACCAAAAAAAAATCCGAATAAAAATAAAAAGTTTGATGGATCCAATAAAAATAAAAGGCTCCAAATAAAAATAAAAAAACTATTTGAGGTTGTAACAAAAGTTAGAAGGATCAATAAAAAAAAATGAACTCCAAAACTACTCTAAATATAAATTTATTTAATATTTTTTCAACTAAATATTTTTTTTCTTTATTCGTTTATTCTGTATAAAATACTAATCGAACATAATCTAAAAGTCTACTTTTGTCAATAGTTGGAAAATATAAATGAAAATTATTAAGATTTATTTAAAGCAATTAACAAAAACTCAATAACAAATAGTAGAAGGAAAACAATTATCCAAGTTCTTACAAACACATGTGCATATATCCCATCATTAACATTTTTTAGCTTGATATATGTGTGAATTCGACAAATAATTAAAGTTTATTTATGTTGTACATATTTTATTTTAAAGGATTGTTTAAGTACTAGTAGTTAAAGAAGTATGCTTATTCCTAAAAATGCTTATTGGTGTTGTCCTGTTAATTAGATTAACATGGATGATCGATCGTGGATGTATCATCATCTTATGGATGGTCGCCTTTGTCCTGAATACATTACCAGTGTTAGAAGATTTATCAATTTTGCATTTTCAATTGATAAAAATATATCTGGGAGAAAAATTAGATGTCCTTGTGTGAGGTGCAAAAATCAAAAGTTTTTAAAGGAAGATGATGTTTGTAAACATCTATTGACAAAAGGTTTTTTACCTTGTTATGAAAATTGGACAGTATATGGGGAGCCTTATGTTGCAGAACCAATATTAGCTGGACCTTCATCAATTGGAATGAGTCATGTTGTGAATGATGTTTGTCTAGAGAATCCATATAGGAATCTAGTTATGGATGCAATGGGGGTTGGTGATGCATTCTATAATGATAATGTGTCTAGTCCTATGGTAGTAGGGGAAATTCCAAATCCGGAGGCAACTAAATTTTTTAATCTTTTGAAAGCTGCAGAGGAGCCGTTGTGGGATGGGTGTACCAAGCAATCCAAATTATCTGCTTGTGTACAATTGCTTAATATGAAGTCAACTTTTAATTTGACTCAAAATGCCTTCAACAATTTTATTGATTTTACAAAAAGTTGCATGCTTAATGATGAAAATTTGGTATCAAATTTTTATGATGCCAAGAAATTTATGCGGCCACTTGGACTTGGTTATGGGAAATTTGATGTGTGTCCTAATTACTGTATGTTGTACTATGGGGCAGATGCAATGAAAATAAATTGTGATTTTTGTGGAAGTTCACGATACAAACCTAGAAATCCAACTAGTAAAGGTTCCAATAAGGCGGAGAAGCAACTCCGATACTTTCCCTTAACACCAAGGCTTCAGAGACTGTTCATGTCTCCATATCATGCCAAATATATGACATGACATCATTTTCATAAGTCAGATATTGGGGTTATGGTGCACCCATCTGATGGGGAGGCATGGAAGGAGTTTAATCGTGTTCACTTCAGCTTTGCATCAGATCCGAGAAATATTCGATTAGGGTTGTGCACTGATGGGTTTTGTCCATTTGACATGCCTTCAAATACATACTCTTGTTGGCTAGTAATTGTGACTGTTTATAATTTGCCTCCATGGAAATGCATGACTAGACCATTCATGTTTTTGACAATGATGATTCCTGGGCCAAAGAATCCGGGTAAAAAGCTTGATGTTTTTCTAAGACTTTTGATTGATGAGTTAAAGAATTTATGGTCTGTTGGTGTTGAAACATATGATGTATACAGAAAGGAAAATTTTCAATTAAGGGCAGCTTTGATGTGGACCATTAGTGACTTTCCAGCATATGGCATGTTATCGAGGTGGAGTATTCATGGAAATCTGTCTTGTCCTTATTGTATAGAGCATAGCAAGGCTTTTAGATTAAAAAATGGAGGGAAAACTACATTTTTTGATTGTCATCGACGATTCCTACCCATGAACCACCCATATAGACATCAATTTGATAAGTTTTTGAAAGGAGTAATTGAAAGGCTCCCTCCTATAACTCGTCCATCTAGTTTGGAAATGTTAAATGAAGTGTCCAAGTATACTGAGAGACATAATGGAGATTCATCATATAATGATAAAATTCTGGGCTTTGGTGTTAAACACAATTGGGTGAAGAAGAGTATTTTCTGGGAGCTTCCATATTGGCATACAAATTTGATTCGTCATAATCTTGGTATCATGCATATTGTGAAAAATGTCTTTGACAATATTTTTTATACAGTAATGGATTGTCCTTATAGAAGCAAGGACAATTTAAAGGCTAGGTTGGATATTCAATTGTATTGTCATAAGCCAAATTTACATTTACAACAAGATATGAGTGGTCGGGTTTACAAACCTAAAAGCACTTATTGTCTACACAAGAAACAACAACAAGAAGTTTTGTCATGGATGAAGGAATTATCATTTCCTTATGGTTATGCTTCAAGCATTTCACGATGTGTGAAAGAGGCACAATGTAAGTTTTCGGGGATGAAGAGCCATGATTGTCATGTCTCCATTCAAAGACTTCTTCCAACCGCTTTTCGACCTTACTTACCTAGGCCATTGTGGGAGGCATTAACTAAACTGTCCGTATTTTTTCGAGATATTTGTTCAACAAATTTAAATACCCAGCACATGGAGTTAATGCAGATGAATATAATTGAAATCATTTGCAAACTTGAAAGGATTTTTCCTCCATCCTTCTTTGACTCCATGGAACACTTGACGATACATCTACCTTACGAGGTAAAAGTTGGTGGACCAGTTCAATATCGATGGATGTATCCATTTGAACGGTATGTTTTCATATTATGTTCATTTTATTCACTTTTTATTTTTTTAAAATAAACTAATTGACAGAAATGATATAGGTATATGTTTTATTTGAAGAAGAAAATTACCAATAAAGCTAAAGTTGAGGGTTCCATATGTGATGCGTACTTGATTGATGAAATTACCAATTTTGCATCTCATTACTTTGGTGATGACGTGCAAACAATTTGGAATCGAGTTCCATGGAATGATGATGGTGGCCTTAAAAGTGTAGATGAATGTCTCTCTATTTTTTCCTATCCAGGAAAAAAATTATCCAAAAGATTTTATAGAAGGCAGTTGTCACATGCTGAAATGCAAATTGCGCATAACTATGTGATATTCAATTTTCAAGAACTGAAGCCTTATTTAGAGTAAGTATGAAATATTATTTTTTACTAAATTTCTAATAATTTATTATGAACTTTAACATTTTTAAATTTTAGGCAATGTCATCAAGAGCTAAAGTCACAACAACCACATGCGAGTGATGGTGAAATTGAAAAATTATGCGAAGTGATCTTTCCAAATTGGTTAAAAAATAATGTAAGTGTTTTAATAAAAATAATTTATATTTTATGTCAATTAGTTACATTAAAAATATTATTAATCTCTTTTAAATTATTATTTCTTATGGAGTTAACTATTATGCTAGGTGGAATACCAATCTAACGGAATTGAAAATCAGCTATTTGGACTTGTTATGGGCCCTTCAACTTCACTGAAATGTTATAATGGGTATTATGTGAATGGTTTTAAATTTCATACTCAACGTTATGGTCGTTTTAAAAAGACAATGAATAATGGGGTTTGTGTGAAAGGAAGTTTCTATGATGATAATGAACGTGATTATTATGGAATGCTTAAAGAAGTTGTTCGGCTAAAATACTTGGGGAGTAAGTGCAAGTTATTTATGTTTAAATGTAATTGGTATGATACAAGACGAGGGATTAGAGTGCATCCTTCGAATGGGTTGGTTGAAATCAAGCATACATCTTGACTACACGGAAATGAAGATTTTGTGCTAGCACAACAATGTCAACAAGTCTACTATACATATCCACCTGGTAATAAATCATCTGAATGGTGGACGGTTATTAAGACAACTGCTAGAAGTCGTTATAATGTTGACATGGGTGAATTTATTGAAGATGCCAACAATGTAAGATCATTTGATGTTGATCAATCAGATGAGATTTCTCAACCATGTCGTGTCCTTCCTACTCAAACACTTGATGATCCAAATATACTTGTTGAATCATCTTATTATGAAGAAATCGGGCAACATGAATTGCTTCAACTTGACATAAATTGGGGAAACAAAGATGATGATGAAGAAGAAGATGATGGTGATGGTGATGGTGATGGTGATGGTGATGGTGATGGTGATGGTGAAGAAGAAGAAGATGATGATGAGGATGAGGATGATTGTTATGGTAGTGATGGTTAGGAGTGATGATAATAATGAGTAGCGCAAGTTAATTAAATTTCGTAGTATATGTAATGAATTATCTTTATTATATGTATGGACGATTTCATATTATTTGACAATATTTACGCTTTCAATGTTTTTTATTTATTATTTTATCATAGTTTGTTATATATCACATTACATATATCATTTTCATTGACCTTTGAAAAAATTTCTAACCTTTCAAGTATCAATCTTTAAATTGTGGTTCTGATGTTATATTTTATTTTGTGATTCGTTTTCTTGCTTATAAATGTTGAAGCATGAATGAAAAGGTTCTTCCTACTCAATGTTTGATTTATAGGAACAAACATTAAGGTAAGCATATTCATAAATTTTGATTTCTGCTTAATTAATTATTTAGATTTTTATTTTTATTATTGTTTGTGTTAATTGGCTTTTGACAATTTAAACTTCATGGCTGATTTTTATCATTGTAAGGAATGCTTAATGAAAATATCTGTGAATTTTTTGTTCCTCATAGTTTAATTATAAGCTAATTTATTGTTATGTTGCATATATTCATATCATAATGTCTATATTTTTTATGGTTTTTAGCATGCCTCGACGAGGATCCATGTTAGATTTTAGGAGTGACAGGTCCACATCAAGGAGTGACAGGTCCACTTCATCCAAATCATTTCAAACTACATCAAGGTATAATAACAAAGGATCCACATTTCATCAACTTGTGTATCAGAACGCAAATGAGTATTATATACCTACTTTAGGGAGTACACATCCTCCTCAACATGATTATAGGAGGGTTGATGCATATCAATATTGTGAGGGCTTTCGTTTCCAAGATTTGCTTTAAACTCAAGGAGATTTCTCTCGAGATAACCAACTTGTTTATGGAGGACATAATTTGTATAGGACTTATGAGAGAGTTAATGGTGATGATGATGATGTGAATGTCAGAGATGAAGACGAGGGAGACGATAGTAATGAGAGAGGTGTATGTGATGAGGATCAAGATGGTGTTCCATCATATCATGGTTCAACATGTCCTCCACACAATTATGATCAAAGTGTTAAAAGGAAGGTTTTTGGCACGCCAATAGATCCAATAACAAGAAAAAAAGAGCTTTGTTTGTATGGAACAACAGAGTAAGTTCAAACTTTTAAAAACAAACTTGTTAAGGTTATATTTTCAAGTATGAAAAAAATTACTTATTATTGTGTAATTATTTGTTTAATATAAGTTTGTTATTATATATTTTCAGGTTCAATAACGCATCGTGTGGACGTGCAATCAGAGATATTTTGAGGTCCAATTTTAAGGGAGCATGGCACTCTTGGGAAAAAGTAGATTCAATGTGCAGGGATGAACTCTTTAAAGAGTTTAAGGTAAGAACCAACACTAATTGCTGTAATATTCTTTTCAATTTTGATAACTTTAATGTAGGATTATGAAAATTATCAATTAGCTATAATTGATTTGTGTTATAATTTGTACTTATTTCTTGTTTACTTTTTAATATCATTTAATTTCTATAGTTATTACATCAATTAGCTATATGTTAATTATTTATATAATTTGAAATTTTATGCACTTTTTTTACTTGGTATATATATTATTTGGTAGAAAAAATATTCTTTTCCTGAGGAAGATAAGTCGATTTTTCGTAATATTTGGGAAGATAAGGCAAGGATAGCTTTGAATCAACAATTGACACGAGCTCGCAAGAAAGCCATGTCAAAAGAAAACACTACAAATATTATAGATTTCCTTGATAAAGGTCCTGCCTGGATAAATAATGATGATTGGAATCAAATAATCAAAGATGTTTGGTCCACCCCTAAATTTCAAAGGAGGTTTGAATCTGCTAGGAGGAATCGATTAATCAAAACAGATGGCAAAATAAGCACTCATTCTGGAGGAACAATGTCATTTGCATCATATCGAGCTAACATGGTAAGGATTTTTTTTTTAATGCTTAAGATAATAAATTAAAATTTGTATATTTATCTTTTATAATATTTATTAATCTTGAAAGCAAGAGGAAGTTGGTGGAAAAGAACCTCCATGGGATGATGTCTTTTTAGCTTTGCATCAAAGTACTAAGCAGTCTGGTAGCTTCGTCGACAACAAGTCTAAAAAAGTGGTTGTATGTATTTTTATTTGATTATTTCTTAATATAACTTAAGTATTATTTAACATTCAAATGAATTTATTGTTGCATGTATTTTATTTGTAGGAAAATTATAAAATGGAGATGATTTCAAAGTATGGAACTAATTGGGAAAATCATCCTTCATTTGCTGGAGCAGCTTGGTGTGTGGCTTCAGGAGGAGTTATAAAGGGTAGGATATATGGTGCACCTCGTATGCCAAAATCTATAGTCAGTACAAGCTCTTCATCACATTCCTACTCAGTGGAGTTATCATATCCCAGTTCATCGTATCGAGCATTGCAAAAGGAGACAAAGGATAAAGAAGAGGAGATAAAGAAAAAAGATGAATTTATTCTTGAAATGAAACGACAGATGGATTCCATGAAAGAATATCTTGTGAACAATCTTGGATACCATGGTGGGACATCAAATATTGACCAAGGTATGCCACCATCTTTGACTCCATCAATATCACCACCTATGGCTCCTCAGATAATGACACCTATGAGTCTCACATCTCAATCAATTTTTCGACCTACACCTCGACCTTTATATCCTGATCAATCTTGTGTCGATCCACAATATCATGGTTCGTCTTCGCAACCAGCATCATGATTGTATCTTTTGTTGTTTTTTTTTTTATTGTATTTGAACTTAATTGTACTAATGTAAGTTTAACTAAATTTTTATAATATGAATATTATTTTTGTTCTATTTTTTATTAATGATACAATTATTTTTAATATTAAATTATGTTGGTTATATATATTCTAAAACTTTTAAAATATCCATAAATAAATTAATAAATAAATTTAAAATCATTTTAATAAATAAATATAATATAATATAATCACCAACGGATTCTCCGTTAGTGATTGTAACTAATGCATCAATCAGCAACGGAGAATCCGTTGCTGATTCACAAAACTAGCAACGGATTTTCCGTTGCAAAGAAATCAGCAACGGATAAATCCGTTGCTCAAAAATCAGCAACGACAAATCTGCATTCGATTTTTGCCGTTGTTGATTCTGTTGTTAAATTGTTTTAGCAACGAATTTTAGTATTATTTACAACAGAGTAGTCCGATGCTAATTACTATATTTTTTAGTAGTGTTCGTGATGATGGTAGCCAGACCGTCATATACTCTAGAAAGGACCAAGGCACAAATCTTTCTATGAACTTGATGGTTTGTGAGTAAAATGGATGGCCTCGAGAAAAGTTGTTGTCTTGATACCGGAAGAAGAAGATGAAAGGTGAAATTAATAAGTTTCCGTTTGGATATGTCTTAGTGTTCTAGGGTGACTGTAACTTGAGAGGGAGGCTTGTGTTTATGGCTGCAAGTTTGGGAGGATAAGTTCCTGATGGCTGAGATGGTTTCGCTGGCTGGTAATTTGATGATGGCTGCTAGAGTTTTAGAAACTGAAGGGTAGTATTTTTTAGTGTTGCTGGTTGTGGCTTCAAAGACCCCCCGAAAAGTGGGTTAGGGTTTTGGGGTGAGCATGTGGAATCTCTACTTTTGATTGGAAGAAAGAGATCCTTGACCTAGGTTGAAGGTGAAGTGTGTGTTTAGAAGTATTTATAGTTGTTTTTTAAAATATTTTTTATTTAAAAATATATATTTTTTATATTTTAAAAATTATTTTTAATATTAATGTATTAATTTTTTAAAAAAATTATTTTTAATATTAACATATTAATTTTTTAATAAAATATTAAAAATATTTAAATTTTAATAAAAAATTTAAATTTTTTAAAAATAATCCTGAAAATCCAAATTCATCTAACTCTTAGCCGGCAAGTGAGTACATAAGGCTATTTTGACAAGGGAAGCAGTGTGGTGGAATTTTTAAGAGAGTATTTGCAGCTGGTTTTGGTAGAACAGAGGGTGAATTTTTTACTGGGATAAGAATATCGATGATAATTATCATCAGTTTGACTTGATTTTTATTTATAAAAATAATTAAATTAAAAATTTATAAAATTAAAATTAAAATCGGTTTATTTTACTTATAAAAATAATTAAATTAAAAACTTATAAAATATAAAATTAAAATTAAAATCGGTTCAAACCAACAAGTTTCAATTCGATTTGATTATTTTATAAAAAAACAAACCTAACTGACTGGTTTTTGTTCTGTTCGTTTTTGGTGTGGTTCAATTTAGTTATTTTATATTAAAAATAAAAAAAATTATATTGTTTTTTAAGAGGTTTTTTTAGACTTTTTAATGGGTTTCGTTTCGGTTTGATTCAATTTTTTCAGTTTATTTTTTATGTTTTTTGGTTCGGTTTTGTTTTTTAATTTTAAGTTTATAAAACTGAATTGAATATTTTTTTAAAATATTCCAATTGATTTAATCAAATTTTTTTTTATGATTTAGTTTTTTTTATTTTCTCAATTAATTTAATTTTTCACTTATTTTCCTCAATCCCAGAGAAGAGTAAGGATGAAAAGGTACGAGGGGGTGAGAATTTTGTTTGCAGTGGTGTAGTGATAAAAGGAGAAGGAAGGGTTTAAAGAAGGGGGTTAAACCAGATTTTGGTTTTTGAAAGAAAAAAGAAGGTGAGTAGTGGTTACAACCTCTTTCAATCTAGTCCCTGATCCTTTGAACCTTTACAATTGAGCCCCAACCAACCTTGATCTTTTGAAATTTTTACAATTTCACCCATTGTCTTATTCAATTGGATTCTCAAATTTCAACATCTTTTATAATATGGTCCTTGATCTTGAAATTTTGTTATTTAGTCCCCAATTGACCCTTGAGCCTTTTATCAATTAAACCCCTGATTGCATAATAAGGTCAATCCAAAGTTCAATTAAGTCTTGCAGCTTTTAGATTTTACACATTCACCCTAATCTTCAATATTTGTTTTTTTTTTTTGCAATTAAGCCTCAATCTTAAATGTTTTTCTTCATTAAGGCCCTTTCTTGGTACAATTGAATAAAACCATTTTATTAGATAGAATTGATAACTCGAGTCATTGATTTTTTTATTTAAAACACGATAGCAGTATTTGAATATTCTTTTTTTATATGAAGAAGAAAGCCCAACTTGCGAAGAATCATTATCTAGTGTTTTCTATATGTATATAAAAGAAGCAAAGACAGAGCAGGCTATATTGCTAAGATTGTAGCTTTTAAGGAACGTTTTGTTGGATTTTTGGACTCTCCTCCGAAAGGCATGCACAATGCTCTTCTTGGCTATCTAACTTGCATGAATAATTTTCTTACATTAAGTAATAAGATAAAGAATGCGGAGAATTTACTGTTCATTTATATTTAATACATTGGATTACTATTGCATTCCTTTTTTTTCACTTTTTTTATTTTTTTTTAATATTGATGTAATTAAAAATTAAATTTTATAATTTATTTTCTTTTATTTTATATTTTTATAAGTTAATTTATCTATTTAATAGGGTAATTCAATTTATTTCTGTTTACAAATTTGGTGGGATTTTTTCAATTAAATTTAACTTTATTATCGTTTATCCTATATAATTAAAGATAATAGTTTTAGAAAAAACCATTATACATAAAGTTAAAATATATTAGAAAAGTACTGTAACTTTTCTTATATATTAGTATGGATTATTATAGTGCTTTTCTCTTTTTTTATTTTTTTAAAATTTTCTTTGTTAATTTAATTAAAAATTTATATTTATATCTTTAAAAAAATATTATAAATTACTATAGTGTTTTCTCATAAGATTTTTTTATTTTATTATATATAAAGCTAAAATACATGGAGAAAGTGATATAACTTTCTTTACATGTTATTAAGGATTGCTATAGTACTATCTTTTTTTTCTTTTGGATTTTACTATAGTAATTTCCTCTTTTTTTTTGTTTTATCTCTAAAATTATTTTTGTTAAATTTACTTTTTTAATATTGAACTAGTTAAAAATTTAACTCTGTATTTTTTTCTTTAAAATACTATGGATTGCTATAGTGTTTTTCTACATAATTTTTTTATTTTTTAAAATTATATTTATCTATTTTATTTTTTAATATTGAGCTTATTGAGAATTTATTTTTGTAATTTTTTTTAAAACATTATTGATTCCTATAGTATTTCTCCACATGATTTTTTTTTTGTTTTTTTATTTTTTTTAATTATTTTTTTAATTTTATTTTTTAATATTGTGCTGGTTAAGAATTACAATTATAATATATGGGCAAAGTACTGTAACTTTTCTCATAATTTACTATAATTTACTACAATGTTTTTTCTTTTATTTTTTAAATTTTATATTATTTATTTAGAATTGATTTATAATCATAATATTATTAAATATATTTGTTTTATAAACCAAAGTAGCACATGAGCATGCCATCTCATGTCTCTTGTATGCTAAAAATTTCATTTTGTTTTATTATTTGTAATTGTACATCGGTGAGTTTCATCTTAATTGAAAAATAAAGTATGTAGTGGAGAGTTATGAGTATATTTGTTTTTATATTTTAAAAGTATTTTTTAAAAAAATTAATTTTTTTTATTTTTTACTTTACTTCAAATTATTTTATTTATTTTGATATGTTAATATAAAAAATAATTTTTTAAAAATAAAATAATAATATTATTATTTTAATATATTTTCAAACAAAAATAACTTTAAAAAACAATTCCTACTGTATATTTTAAACACCCCTGAATACGGCTTCTTTTAGAGGTAAAGGTAGATTACATCATTATTAGTACAAGGACTTCTTACATTCTCCGTGTCAAGTAATCTTAAGATGTCAAAAAATATTATCTATTTTGTCTATCTAGGCAATATAATGTTATATCTTTAAAAATATTAAATCCCAGGAAATTTGACATTTGTAGGAAAATGTGTTTGTTTTAGACAATATGTGACAATATGATTTTCAATATATTTTTTAAATTATTTTTTCACTTATAAAACAACAAAGTAGTGTGTTTTAGGGTTTTTTTAATGATTTTATATTTTTAATATAAAAAATTATTTTAATATAATTTTAATTAAAAAATATTTTTAAAAAAGCACTATATATCATAATAACAAACACACATACATTTCCTAAAACTAGAAAATGTAATTTTATCTTAAGATGAGGGGAATCTCAAGTTTTCTAGTGATGAGAATGATAGTTTTTTTTAAAAAAAAAACTTAATTGAATCTAATTCTTATCTCCTGTGTACTTACATAACCTTGTGTTTACAAACAATAACACAATTATTTTAAATATAATTGATCTGAATAACTAATATATGTTTTAATGACTCCATGAGAATACCAACATTATTGATGTTACATGTTCTTATGTAACTCCTTTTTCCTTCAAACACTTGTTACATTATCAATTGATTTTGAAGTAAATTCAAAATAAGTATTTTAATTTCTATCAAAACTTAATCAAGTTTTATTTATTGTAGACTTGAAAATTTTTCAAAAGCTATATTATAATATTTTTATACATTTCTAATTTTTATTTTTATTCAAATGATGATGAATACTTATGGTTAAGTCTTATATTATTTATATCTAAATTCAAATACAAGACAATCATTCAAATCCAATTTAATCAAAGTTTTGAGTATTTTATTGGGTAATTATAACATGATTTCAAGTACAAACCCGAATGCTTTAATTGAAAACTTTTTAATATATAATTAGCTTAATATACATGTATTTTTTTAAAATTTTAAATTTATTTATTAATTTTGGGTTGAATTTTAAATTATGACGAGTAAATTAATTTCCATGCCCAATTTAAAACCGATATTTTATTTATATATTTTCCCCAAATCCCCCTGAAATTTATCTCGTACAAAATTTTAATACCCACTTGGTTGAGTATCCATTTAGATAAAATTATTATCCATATTCACATCGACTAATATGAGAAGCAATGGTTGATATTAGATAAAATTATTATCCATATTCACATCGAGTAATATGAGAAGCAATGGTTGATATGAATACATTGATAGAGAAAGAAAAATCATGGCTGGGACACCATCTGAACCGTACAAACAGTAATAATAAGCTACACTTGTATGCACAGGATCCCCGCCCCCTCAGATGCAACAAAATTCAAAAATCGCCATACCCCTCTCCCCTTCTCTTATAAAAAATTAAAAACTAGAAAAAAGAAATTCAAACTCCTCCTTCTCTAACGGCTACATTTCTCTCTCTACGCTCCCTTCTTGTCTCTCTTCCTCCTACTCTCTCGCTACCCTGCCCAAACCCTACTCTCTCTCTCTCTCTCTCTCTACAAAACTCTGTAGCTAACCATGAAGCACTTTATGCTACCAAGAAACCCGATCTTGAGAGAAGCAGCAGCGCATAATGAGCAGTCCCCAATCCCTAGTTCTCACAAGACGAAACCCTCGCCGTCGCCATCGCGGAGGACCAAATCGTCTAAAGAGAACGCTCCGCCTCCAGATCCGAACTCTATTACTTCCGATCTAAAGCCTTTTCCGTCCCCTGCCTCCGCTAAGTTGAAGAGTCCCTTGCCTCCTCGGCCTCCGTCTTCAAATCCTCTCAAGCGCAAGCTCAGCATGGAGACCTCGCCGGAGAACTCGCTCTCCGATTCTGGCGTCAAGGTATTTTATGCTCATTGTTGTTGTTGTTGTTATTATCTTCCTGAATAAATAGAGCCTAGTTTTTTCTTTTTGGTTTCTGAGAAAATTTTAGTAACTGAAATTTAATTGATTTTTTTTTCTAATTTTCTGTTGAAACATCGAGGAAATTTTAGTTCAGTTTTAAATTTTATAAATCCTCGTTTTCTTGATTCCACTAAATTGAATTTTAGCTTTCTATTTCTGGATTGTGATCTTAATGTATTTGTGATTATAAATCTTAGTATTCTATTGTTTGATTCCACTTATTTTCAAATTTTGGGCTGATGAGAAACGGCTTCAATTCACTTTCAAATCGTGTTGGTTACTGATAAGATGAGCGAACAGATTGGACTGGAACTTCGATCTGTTGTTAGCCAAAGCAAGAGTAAGAGCATTTGCATTAGGATCACTAGGCTTAAAGCCTTTTTATTTTCTCGGGTTACATGTTGAATTTGAGATTAAACAGTTTTTGGTAACTTAGTGTAACAATATTTCAGGTAATAGTGCGAATGCGGCCATTGAAAAAAGATGACGAGGAGGAAGGAGAGACGATAGTTCAGAAAATGTCTAATAATTCGTTGGCAATCAATGGACAGACCTTCACTTTTGACTCAGTTTCAGATACAGGGGCCACTCAGGCATGATCTCTATCTATGTGTTCCTTTGCAGTGTACTGATTTGATGACCATGCTAATTAAATAATACTCATTTAAGTTTTATTCATTCTTGTTTTCCACAGCTAGACATGTTCCATCTTGTAGGAGCCCCTCTTGTGGAGAATTGTCTTGCTGGGTTTAACAGTTCTGTATTTGCCTATGGACAGGTAGCTTCCCAATCAGTTTTGTTAGTTCCTACCTTTTCTTTTATATTGCACAAGATGATGTTTCCAACTCTTCTTTCTACTCTTGAAATTATAACGTTCAGACAGGGAGTGGAAAGACATTCACAATGTGGGGCCCAGCCAATGCTTTATCAAGTGAAAATTTATCAGGCGATCAACAAGGTTTGACCCCCCGAGTCTTTCAGCGACTTTTTGATCGTATAAATGAGGTGAAGCTTGATTCTTTACACACTCAAGCTGATTGAAGATTGTCTTATGTTGAAGATTATCACCGTCAGCACTCATCTTTCCTTTCCTTTGCAGGAGCAAATTAAACATGCTGACAAACAACTTAAGTATCAGTGTCGCTGCTCGTTTCTCGAGGTTAAGTAATTCTAAATGCTCCTTTTGGTACACACTTGGCTCTTTAACCGTGTATTTTACACCACTTGATAATTAAACTTTTTTTTTTGCAGATCTATAATGAACAAATAACAGACTTGCTGGATCCAGGTCAAAGAAACCTTCAGGTAAACAGGACAATTTTGCATCCTAGTCTGTCCTTAATAGAATTAAAAATGGTTTTCTTAGATTGTCGGTCTGGTTTCTTTTCCAGATAAGAGAAGACATGCAAATTGGTGTTTATGTTGAAAATCTCAGAGAGGAGTATGTATTTACAATGAAAGATGTGACTCAACTCCTGATAAAGGTTTGATTTCAATTTTCTTTCGCTATGAAGAATAATGAAAGTGCCCATGAAATAAAATATTTGAACATGTTGTTTAGACTACTTTCTACCTTGTACTGAACATAAACTCGCTGTTATAATCGCTGCTCTTTGACAAATTTATATGAAGTTCACAAATATTGATTGCGGCTTAATAGTTCTTACATACAAGTTTCAATGCTCCCATGGAAAAACATGTTGAGGTTGACCTCATTTTACACTGTAGCAAACGGAAGATTTGTTGGTAGTTTAGGTTGTAAATGGTAGGGGGTCTTTTCGCTGATGCTTTTCCTCAATTTGTTTCTCTTTAGAGTGTTTCTTGACCAGCAATGAACTCTTATGATTTCTTTTGATTTCCTGGAAAGAGATGAAAATATGGCTGGAGCAAGGACAACTCTTG